AAATCTGCAACACCTTGTCCCACAAAATCTTGGGTGAAGCAGGGCCAATAAACGAGTGTCTTTTCTTCAAGACATTTGTGAACACAAATTAATTATCCAGTCTTTACACCCACCACTCCTCAAGGTGAGCAATATCTTTTCTTGTCAGTTAAGCTCTGATGCTTCAACATGTGCTCCTCTGTGCAGTTTTGAGATCATTTCTATGTGTGTTTAGCTGAGCCCAACGTTGAGCCCAAGGTTGAGCCCAAGGCTTTTAATCAAACAAGGAGCTCTGGCTAAGCAAAGAAATCCTTATTTATGAATAATGCTAAAAAGTTATTGAACATGACAATATAGCCCTGGAGTTCTGTGAAGTGCAAAAGACAGTTTTGATGGTAAACCAGACATGTAATAGAACTTTGATCTCAGGGTTTTTACTGAGTGACAAGCTGAAAAGCTGGAGTATTCTATGACATGGAGCATGAGCTTCTTCTGCTCACTGACCACGAGGGTAAAGTAAGCTCCTTGGATAACTGACGTGCTTTCACCACTGTCTTCCTTGAACATGCAATCTGTCTTCCCAGCAGACTATAACCTGCTCTCTCCAATCAAGCAAAGGGGATTATGCTGTTCAGGGGTTGACTTGCATTTAAATAGTTTTAACACCCCAGACCATGTTAAATGGGATCTGACATGACAAAAAGTACAATATGCTTCACAAGTGACTGATTGGTCACTTTCATTCTACATAGGTATCTGCTGCTAAAATTGGTGGAGGAAGAGAGAAAATAAGGTTGTTGTTGTTGTATGACAAAATGGAACAAATAATCCACAACTGATAAGTAATGCAGTCTCCTCCTGAAGACTAAAAATACCCTGATTTTATTGAAAGTCTCTTGGTACTGCATGGTCAGGTAAGTAAAATGATGTTACTTCCATTTCTGCCTGCTCATAAAAACAAGCTGCTCCAGAGCAAATTTGAGATTCATTTCCTACAAATACTGGTTTATGAGATTTTAAAACTGGCTTTTGGTAAATATTCATGAAAATGTAATTTCAACTGCATGAATGTTTGTGGAAAGTGAACAAAAGGGGCTTGATAAAACCCAGAATTATGTTTTCTGTTCCTTCTTCATTTTCAGTATTAACAACTTGGATCTGGGAGACACTTTCCCAAAAGGTAGTGTCTCCCTGTTTGCCAGTCTCTGCGGTAGGCATGCTAGTCCTACAGCCCACCACAGATGCAGGAAGGATGAGAAGTATGACTTTTCTGAAAAGGAGCCTTCTCTCCTCCATTGGCAACTTCACCCATCAGCCCACCTCTCCAGACTGGCATACAGTGACTCTGTGAATATCTGGATGGAAGTAAAATTGTCCAGATCAAGCCTGAGGACCACAAACTGTGTAACAGCCATCTAGCCTGAGGGCTGAGCCTTACAGTATGGAAATGCGGTCGATGGAATGGACAAATACCTGGTCTTCATCCATCTGTAAGCTGCAGTACAGAACTCAACAGTCTTATTTTCCCATGCATCTTGCAGCTCCTCATTTCTGCAATAAGCGGTCAAGTCCTATGTACTTTACTTAAAGAGGAAATCCATTTGAAAACCTCTTAAGAGTTTTGGAGTTCCTCAGTCCTGATGCAGTAAAAGCTGCTTCCACTAGGAATAAACAGTCTTTTATTTTGTTTGAAACTGAAGCTTTAAACCAATTTACGGGATTCCAAATTGAAACAGGAATGTGTGCTGGAACAAAACCCTGAAAGTCAGTCTTGGTAAGGTTCTTGCCTCTGTGCTTGAGTGTTCTTTCTAACTGCAGCTTTAAATATGGAGTTTCAAAACCAGTTAAAAAATATTTTAATATGGATTGAGTAGAGCAAACCCACAAAGTAAACAAATCTGGTTTCCCTTCTTGCCAAAAGCAGTATGAGAACAAAGGTAGATAATGCCAACAGGAATAATCTTAAGAAACACAGAAGGCTTCTAACTTATAGCACAACTCCACCAGATGGATTTTAGTTGAATTTCAGGTTGGGTTTGTTTGTTTGTTTGTTTTGTTTCTTTGTTTTGTTTTTTTTCTTATAAACTTTTTATTTACTTTCCAAAAAAAAAAAAAAGGGTGACTCTGGGAGAAATTAAGCATGCACTCTTTTATTTTGTGTGTTCTACATTTGAGAAAGTTGATTGCAAAAATATGAAATTATATTTGATTATGAAAATCAAATTAAAGTAAATTAAATAGAAAAATAGAACTGAACACCTGAACACCAGAGAGGACACACAAAATGGTTGAAACTTAACAATCTAATTACAAATATGGTGAGGTATTGAATGCCAGCATCAAATTCTACATTACTTTATCTCCCCTGTATATAAATTGAATGGTTCAAACCTCATATAAAGCAGGCTCTTGACATTCTTCCAGCTGAAGTCTTGATCCAGAGCTCAAAAAGTCAGTATGAATCATGTAAGTTTTGGAGCAGAATGCAATTTTTTTTTTTTTTTTCTAGAAAATTACCTTACGTATAAACTAAAAGGAAAGTCTTGCACTTCTAGTGGACTCTTGGTAATTAAAAGTAGTTTTGAGTATTGTAACAACGATTGGAACTTAATTTATCTAGAATAATGTATTACTTTTACGTTCTTTAAAGATAACAGGTTAACTATCCCATGTACGATGCCTTTCTGCAAGGCATTATTATGGAACATATGTTACAAAGAACTCTATTTACTTGGCTACTAACAATATGGTTTTCCTATGGGAAAGACCATGTTTAAATGCTACAATACAGTGTTTCAAATAATGTTCAGAATATACAGGGGCCCTAGCTAATGACATGGTTACAATGTGGAGGACGCCACTCTGCTCTGTTACAACTGAGAAAGGGCAGAATGGGTTTAGAACCATATAGCCTCCACTGTACTCAGAAACTGGTTGTTTTTAAAGTCAAGATTTGTGTAAACATCTTCTAAAAGACCGTTTTTTCTTTATGCCTATGTCCCTTTTCATTCTGGAGTACTCGTCTCCTGCCAGGTAAGAGAGCCTAAGCTGGCTTCAGTTTGCGTGGTCTTTGGAAATATTCTGTTACAAGAGAAAATAATTAATTTCTACTTTTATACCAAGCAATTTTGGTCATACAGAAAACAACTGCAAATTTGTTTCAAATAAGAGACCATTAGGACATATTTTTAGATTGATATACATGATGCAAACTACTGTTCCTTCTCAAGATCAAAAAATCGATACATGTTTCCACAGGCTCTCCATACAAATTGCCTGTCAGAGCAAAGTCTTGAAAAGTGTACTGTAACCACAGTGGATGATGAAAGAAAATTATTGCCAGACAGATTATATAGTCAAGAAAAATGGTGTAAATTATTTTGTGCCTCCTAGGTTGAATACATAAGGGACAAATGCAAATTTCCCAAATGAAATTCAGCTTAGAATGCATGAATTTCAAAGACATTATAGTTTGCACTTATTAAGTCTTGGCTTGGATCATAAGCAGAGTGCTTTTTCCTGAAATACCAGGTTTTCTGTAAAGACTGTTTTGTTTTTGTTTGTTTGTTTGTTTGTTTTTTCCATAAAGAAGCATCAATTATAAATAACAGTCTACCGTCAAAATTGGAAGGGCCAGACTCGAAGCAAATAAACTGAAAAATATGGTTGGTTAAAAAATTATCTTACCATGCACTCTAGGTATCCTTTGAGGGAATGGCATGGGAATTATTGCTTATTGGCAGATACATAAATATGTGCTCTGTAATAGCCAAGAAGTGATGCACAAACTACAACTACACATATCTACAGGGTGGGCATAGATAGAGCTTTTCTGAAAAATTAAATGTCACAAGGAAGCCCTACAGCTCTCTGGGTCCTGAGCAATAACTAAAAGTTAGTGTTAGCAGCAGATAATGGGATAACTTGTTTGAAAAGCTATTCAAATCCTCATTGCACTCAGGAAGGTTGATTTAAATTTAGCTGCTTAAAGCATGGCATTAAATCAGCAGGAAGATTATGCTAGTTCCTCCAGAGATAAATTTCTGACTAAATAAGAAGTTAGAATGAAAACACAGAAACCCCCAGATACAAAGATAAATATAGGCAGGTTTTGCAGTGGCTTTGGGAGAAAAAGCTGAGAGAAGAAGACTTGCAGTGGAAGAAGTATGGGTGCTGGGGAGAGGCTCACAGCCCAAAAAGTTAACTGTCTCCTGGGCTGCATCACAAGCTGCGTAACCAGAAGGTCAAAGGAGGTGATTCTCCCCCTCTGCTCTTGTGAGACTCCCAGCCCCTGGAGTACATGTTCAGCTCAGGGGCTCCCAGCATAAGGAGGATGTGGACCTGTTGGAGTAAGTCCAGAGGACACCACAAAGATGCTCTGATGACTGGTGCACTTCTGCTATGGAGACACACTGAGAGAGCTGGTGTTGTTCAGCCTAGAGAAGGCTCCATGGAGACCTTAAAGCAGCCTTCCAGTGCCTAAAGGGACCTTACAAGAAAGCTGGAGAGGGTCTTTTTACAACTGATAGGACAAGGGTAGGAGGTATGGCTTTAAGATGACAGAAAGAAGATTTAGATTAGACATTAGGCAGAAGCTCTTCCCTGTGAGGGTGGTGAGGCACTGGTACAGGTTTCCCAGAGAAGCTGTGGCTGTCCCATCCCTGGCAGTGTTCAAGGCCAGGCTGGACAGGGCTTTGAGCAACCTGGTCTAGTGGACAGTGTCTCTGCCCATGGCAGTGGGGTTGGAACTAATTTAAGGTCCTTCCAGCTAGCCCATTCTATGACTTTATGATTCTATGACATGGCTTCCTTTTGCGGCACAGCCACATACCGATTGGGTTTATCTACTGGAAGATGGATCCAAGATTGCTCTGACTCAGCTAGAATGGGAAGGCAGTCAATATAATTTGAGCCAGGTCCCCCATTTCCATGCCTTTCAGGGCATCCCATACCACTTCTGCTGAGAATGCAGTTCATAACAACCATTACCCCATGCAGGAGTGTGAAAACACCAAATGTACTTTTCTTTCTCACTGTAGAAAAGCCTTTGTAGCTATTGTGGGAAAAAAAAGTGAAGAAAGTACACCTTGAAAACTGACAAGGCAGCGGCAGATGTGTTGCAAATGCATTGTCGTACCACAGGATTCTTGGAGGGCCTCGTTCCTGCCCTATGGGCCTGACGGCTGTTGATGGTGTGTGTGGCAGCAACAGAACTGGCTCCAGTGGTGCAAAGGGACTTCGAGGGTTAGCTTTAAAGCCAGCGAATGAAAAGTTCGGAGGCCCGTCCAGCTGTAGGGGGCAGAAGCGAGGAGCTTCTGGCTTTGCTCCTCTCCATCGGTGGCTGGAGATGGAGCTCCTGGGCCACCCACGGAGATGTCTGCCTGTGGGGCAGCCCCTGGCCTGGACACCTGCGCCTCACAAGCGGCTGTGCTGGCTTGCGGTTTGAATTCAGCCAAATGCGCACATGGCGCCTCACAGGCACCTGCAAAAGACCCGGGCTCGCCGGCTCGGCTCCCATTCCCCGAGGAAGCCTCCCCCCTACCCCACGGACTGGTCTCTCCCCACGTCCCCCCCCCCCTGCAGCGTCCAATGGACTCTCCTTCAACACGCGCTGCCATGGGAACAGCGCACGGCGGTGCCTATGCGCTCGGGACGGGGCGGGAGGTGGCTGTAGTGGGAGGACCGGGCCGGCGGTAGGATCAGACCGGAGTGGTCGTTGGTGGCGGTGAGGTGGTGGACGGGTTCTCCGGCGACGGCCTGGGGGGACGCTGGGCTCCAGGGGCAGAGTCCTAAGCCTATGTCGGGGCTGGGGTGGCACGGCTACGGCCCATCGCGCCGTGCGAAGGGTCCCGCCCGGGAGTTGCTGCTCGCCGAAGAGGCCAGTGCCGAAGGGCTGAGAGAGTGCTTGGGAGCAGGTGGGAGTGCTCCAAACCCTGCCCGCTCCACGCACCCTTACAGTAGGAGTCTGTATTCGTTTTCTGTACTTTTTTCTTTATCGTCTCCCCCCCCCCCTCCCCCCCCGTCTTTACAGCTTTCTGGTTTTAGGTTACAGTTCTGGGTAGTTTTCTTCTCCGTGAGCCATCGGTAACGAAACACACACAGAAAGCCCGTTGCTTTCACGTAAGGGTTTTGAGTAGTTGGTTGTGTAGGTTTTTTTTTGTGTTTTGTTTTGTTTTGTTTGTTTTTTGTGGTTTTCTTTTTTTTTTTTTTTTTTCCTTTTTGACTTAGGCATTACTCTGTGTTTTCTTAAAGCTGTCGTCTAGACGGGTTGAAATCTGCGAGCTTTGCTTAGCAGAGACCAGAGTTTGATAGACGCACTAAAGGCAAGTACTGACTTCCCGCCATTTATTCATCCGTTCTTACCACCACCTGCTTCTTTGCTGGTTTTGCCTACTTCTGGGCAAATGCAGGAGTTCACAGGGCAATTGCTGTGGTTATATAATGTGGACGGTACCGCATTTATCTTGTGATGCACACCTGGTAAAGTGGGTTTTTTTTGTTTGGGTTTTTTTTTTTTTTTTTTTTTTTTTGTCGATTTCATGGAGAGACAGAGATTAATCTGCTACTCCTTTCTGTTTGAAGTTACTTAAAATACAGTTGCCATCCTATTTCTTGGTTAAACCATGAAGATGCAGAACTGGTAGGAGCAGATGTTGACTTGTCAGTCACTGAGACAATACATCTTTCCAATGTGTAACAAAATTGTCAAGTATGGGAAAACAATTTATGGAAAGTAACATTAGGTAGTTTAATCTGGTTTTCATGATCTTACTTTATGTCTGTTATATGGCACTAAACATAGGAAAGGATATTTTGTTTTGTTTAAAAATAAGTGACATTTGAAATGGTTGCTGTCATGAATAGAGGCATGGAGAATATGAATTTATCCTGAGAGAGTGAGATTACACTAGTACATGTGACTTCTGTATTCAGGCCAGGTGTTAGGAGCAAATTTACAGGGTAAGCAAAGTTTGCGTCCTTTTTTTTTTAATATCTTTTTTTGTTGTTGCTGTTTTTTTCAATTACAAATTCTTCAGAGGAAATGGTTTGGTTTGAATTACTGGTAAATACATAGGACTTAGTCTGGTGTGAAATCTGTGTTCCTGGTTATGACAATTGTATGTGAGCTAGTACATATATGGTAATATCCCTTTAGGTTTTATGGGTTTATTGATTCGAGAGGCGAGAAAGCTGTTGGAACTTATACTTCTCTAGTTAAATTCCTGTAGTCTGAAATAAACTGCATCATCTTCATCTGTCTTTCAGTAATAAAGCTATTTTTATATTGATTAGGAAGAAACTTGAGCTAGGCTAAGACAGAAGGTGTATGGAATTGGTGTTCATTTAGCAATGCAGACTTTAAAATTAAGTTGACTTTAATTTTAGAACTTTCTTCAATTCGAAATTAATAAAATCTTGGTTTGTCTTAAGATGTGAAAAAAGAAAATTGTTTTAAAGTGGCAAGAAAGAATGGAGTGCTTGGCTTTTCTGGCACAGTAAGAAACATGCTTCTGTGCTGTATGAACTTGCTTGTTGGAAGAGTATTTAACAAACTGGGGGGAAAAAATGTCTTTAAAATACCACTGCCTTTGAGGTTTTAGAGTAGGGAATAGTTGTGCTCTGCTAGTTACCATATTCTTGTGTATCCATTTGTATATGACACAAGGCACTTACCTTTCCAGATCAGTGGAGATGGTTTGATTTCACAGCCATTGATAAAATTTTCTCCTTCTCTGTGCTTTCCAGGCACCTGATTCAAGGAGCCACATTTTATTTAATATTAAACTGCTTTCACTGAACTTTAGGGAATTGCTCAAATTAAATAGGCAAGTAAATCTTTCCCTGGGTATCATAAATGTAATAAAAATTTTTTCTTTCAGTGAAATTTAATTTAAAGTTGCTCTAGAATTTTTATTGGTGCTTCATATAAACAAGTTCTGTGCTCTGTTTCTCTTCTATACAATAATATTTTTTGATTTGTAACGGGTTTTTATTGTTTTAATTTCAATTGAATACACATTTCAACAGATTGCTAACTATAGCTCATTGAAATTCTTTTCTTTTTTAAAGAGTTTATACTGGTTATCATGAATGTCAACGATTTTGTAATACTCCCAGGCTCAAAACCTGGAACCTCAGTGAGATTAAAAGCAAAGTAAGTGCATTTCATCTAATTGTGGTAGAGCTATTTTTTCATAATTTTTCATGCAGTATATTTTTGTACAAGCAAGAAGAATAATTCTTTTCTAGTATTTTTCCTATCCTTTTATTCTTAAACCTTTCTTTTATTAGGCTTTAATCTACTTTCTGAGTCAGTTGTAGGTTTTATGCCTCTGTATATCTAGCATATATATTTAAAAACGAGCAATACTAAAGAATTCACTGGGAGAGTTTATTTTAATATAATTAAGACACAAAGCTTTCCAAATATAGACACAATTGTATCAGTAGCCAGTAGGCTACTCTAAAGCTTATCTTGGAGTAGCCATATCACTGTCAGCATACTCCTCTGTGATGAGGTACTCTTGGGTCCATCTGACCTGCCCTAAATTTTCCAGAACTGTTTTCAGTCTTGTTGGGAGATAAAAGGGTGATGTGCCTTTAATGTCAAGGTTTTTTTTTAAACTTCTTCATGTGCCTTACAGTCTTCCATGTAATTTCTAATGACTATTTTACTACTTATCTCCTCCAGAACTGTTAGAGAATTGCAGTTGGAGAAAGCACATTTAGAAATGGAAAATGAAGAGTTGGAGAGGAAATTACAGCAACTGCAGTCAAACATGAACAGAGAAAAACAAGACAGAAAGTAGGTTAAATTTCTCTTTCAAAAAAAAAAAAAAAAAAAAAGAAAGGATGCTTTCTCCACATCTTTGAGGAAAGTTTGGGATTCACGGTAGTGTTTAGTCTTTTCTCTTCAATCCTTCTTCCCAGTGATAAACTTGCTCTAATAAACTACAGCTTTCTTATTTTTAAACTTCTTTAAACTTATTTTTAAACTTCCAAGTGAAATTTTATTATTTATTTATTCACAAGTAAACTAACAAAATTCTTCTTGGTAGGGATATTCTTCCAACAGTGAAGATCCCTTTTCCTCATTTGTTCCCTCTTTTCCCTTTTTCCACTGTCTGATGGAATTTGTCACCTTAGTTTTAAAGCAGCAGACAGAAAGTAGTTTCACTTGTGCTATTTTAGTGTTATTTTGGAAGTGTCTAAAGAGGGTGATGTTCTTATTATTGGTTTGGTATGGTTTTGCATGGGTCTGTGCAGCTTCTCAGAATGATATTTTTCTGTAGGATGGAAACCATGGCTTGGAAAGTAAGCATAACATAGTGGATCAGTTGTTAGGGTGGGAGTTCAAATCTCTCCGCTCTGTTACTGGCTCACTCTGAATGTTAGCAGATACCTGTAACATCTGCTTTCATTTCTTTGTATTTCTGCCTGACATGCTTTGTCACTGGAGATATGAGTAGTGCCTTGGATACTTTGTTGTCTTAGTCTTGGTAATGCTTAAGGGCCTTCTGTTTTCAGCTGTTGGGGTACTATTTTCCAGATACTGTGTGGCACTTCCCCCCCCCCCATATTATTCTCATGCAGTAGTTCTTACATTGTCCTCATAGCCTTGTACCTGCAAACCCTGATAGTGTTATGGTGAATTCACATGACAGGAATCAATGGCATTTACACCAGTGGTGGAAAGATCATTCCTCTTCCCCTCTACATGTTTTCCTTACCTTTTGTTATCTATGCTTTAGTTTGTTTTGCTCTTTATTTGGTTTTCTGTGGAACAAAGTAGATCAGCCATTTGAATACTTGATAAATATTATGCAATAATTTATTATGCAGTGTGCTAAAGCTGAAAATCACTGCTTAATATCACTTGGTCTTAATTTCTTCCCCCCTACCTTCCATGTTTGTGAAAGTAGTTAATATCTAAACTGGTATTTACTGAAATCTTAATTTCAGTGAATTAAAGTGTGTGTTCTTGGCTTACTAGAAGATGTGTTTTATTTGTGCTGGATGAATGTGTTAGAGTAAATTGGGAGAATGAAGACTTATCTAAAGTGTACTTCTGTTACTTTTTTATTTGTCTAAACCCAATCTTAGAGAATTTATGGGTTTTTCTTATCTTTAAAAGTTTAGACCAATTTGATGATCTCAGTACTTTCTT